CCCCCCCCACCTCCCCTCCCCCCCATGCTGTTGTGCCTCAGTTCTGATTAAAGTCCACTATCACCCATCGTGAATGAATGGGCTCATCTGGTGCTCCTGTGAAGTTCCAGGCAACACTTTAGATGTGGTGGGGAAGGGTTAGGACCTCTGTTGCGGTTACTGTCCTGGCGACAGACAAATGCCCCTGTATTAGTTTCCCAGAATGCACGGCGTTCTGTGATCGGAGGAGAGCGGGTGAGTGACAGGACGGCCCCTCGTCCACTCGGAGAATTCCCGGCACGCTGCGAGAATAGATATTTCTTATATTACTTACATATATCTTTCTTTATCTTCATCACCGTCTACAATATTATTATCACGGATATTACTTTCATATCTCACCTTTATTTCCAACTTTATTCGTTTTGTGATCAGTTACATTGTTATCAGCAAGTGGTAAATAGCACCTCGCGCCAAATACAGATACATTGTTATCAGCGTTATCTTGAGTACGATTCTTATCATCATTCTGATTTGTATTGTTACTATAAATAATAATATAATAACAAAATATATAATAATAACCAAAATGTAATATCTTTTTATTACTATTATGTTCTTATTAGTATTTGATCTTGTTCCTGAGCTTTCTGAATCATCGGATTACAACGACGTCTAGCAGGGAATTTTTATATTTCTTTATTTTCTTAAATTTAATAAACTGCTTCTTATTATTTTTTTTTACTTTTTAATCACCTTTTTATTTATTTTATTTAATTATTTCTTATTTTTTGTTTCTTTAATATTTTTTTTTATCAATTTTTTTTTTCCACTTAACTTTATTGCTATCAGACAGGAGCTAACAAGCCCTCTGTGTGATAGCATTTGGAGGTGACAGGTTCTCTTTATTGAACCTGTCACCTCCAATACAGTAGCCTGAGCACAGCTCCGTGCTGTAACTCCGGTGACGGCTGAGAGGGGAAGGCTGCGAGTGGAGCTCTCCCGTCTCAGTGTTCACACGGAACAGAGCGGAGAATGGACGTTCCCCGCTCTGCTCCCCACTCTCCATCCTGAACTACCTTGTCCAGA